CTGCCCCATACTAATGTTGAGTACTCAAAACATTAAATACCAAGGGCCATAAATCTGGAAGTTATTATCAGAAATCATTGAAAATCAATAGGATTCTTCGTCTCATGGCCATAATTGTTTAGCCTCCAGAGCGTGGACACCGGACGGGAGCAACGACAATATACGACATGTTGGCGTAATAAAAAAAAGTGTTGAAAACTGGAAATCAGCAAATAGGCTTAAAATACATTTATCCATATACCAATCCAAATTTCTTAAAATTGTATTTCAAAAAACCTGACATTGGAATGATTTGATTTGTATACACTGGCTATATTCAGGTTATTGATCCACTCTCCAATCTGCCAAGTAAACAACAATATATTATGATGTGCAAAATAATGTATTGATACCTGTTATAGATGAAGTGATAAACTTGGTCTCTCTCATATCCGCCCATTTTCATTCACTCATTCAACTTCTTACACAAAGAATCCAGTGTGTAAGTCAGTTATCGACCTTCGACCCTCAGGGTCAAGTTAGATGAACACCCAAGCTTGCACAATTGAACACTTCGGACGCTGACGCGTTCTCAGTGTACAACCTTGCACGAGCTCGGGTGTTCATCTAACTTGAACCCTTCTGTCTCAGTCGATAACTCTTACATATCAAAACAATTAGATGATAAATGTAGTCTGTAGAGTGTTTACGGACGTACGGACGTGGGCGACAGCAATATACAATCACATTTTGATGGTTTTTTTCCATTTTACTAATCTAAAAAAGGCATATAAATTTCATACAGATCGGATGATAACTTTTGTCATTCGAAAGTTCACAAGGTTCAAAAGAGTAAAACAAGACCAATAACTGACAGAAATTGCTGAAATTCAATAGGCTTCTTCCTTTCACTAATTTAAATGATGCATATAAATTTCATAGAGATCGGATGATAACTTAATTTCATCATTCAAGCGTTCATAAAGTTCAACAAATTCTAAACATAATTAACGGAAATTGCTGAAATTCAATAGGATTCTTCGTTTCACTAATTTAAATGATGCATATAAATTTCATACAGATAGGATGATAACTTTTGTCATTCACAAAGTTCAACAAAGTGAAACAAGGGCCATAATTCTAGACGTAATTAACGGAAATTGCTGAAATTCAATAGGATTCTTCATTTCACTAATTTAAATGATGCATACAAATTTCATACAGATAGGATGATAATTTTTTGTGTTAGAGTGTCGACAAGAAGTTGTGGACGACAGACGAACCGAGGTGACGACAATATAGGACCACATTTCCATGTTGGCGTATAAAAAGGGGCATTATACATGTATCTCCAAATATAAATGGGAACACCTCGCTATTTTTCATATTTAATTGTGGTATTCAAATTAATGTCAATGATATTTCTATAAAATTACGTGTTTTCGTAATATGATAGAATGAAAGCTTGCCGATCCGTATTGACTTGTAAAAAGACATAGCTTCTTGCAGCGTATGGCGTATGTGACTCACGGCACATAGCTTCATCGCAGCGAAATGCCACTGCAAATGAGAATTTCTATATGGAGTCTTAAAAGACGTAAAAGATATCGCAGACAAAATGACTGTCCACTGATTTGGGGTGTTTTTTACTCTTACGACATGTGATATCTAAGACTAGTTTATACATGCTTTCAGTTGGTACATGCTGTGATTAAAATGTAAAAGTCAATGTAGAAACCACAAGTTTAACACTTAGATTACACACTTCTACACAATTTGTGTACAAAGAGCGGCCATTTTGTCGAGTAGTTTCATTTTGATTTTCCCTAAATACGAATTCAACCTTCATTATGGTGGAATGGTTATGTATTTAAAAGCTTAAAATCGGAAAAAAGTGTGACCTCTAGAGAATCCGCAAGCTAAAAATGAGATTTTTCGAATAATCAGAGGCCATAGTCCAGGAAGTTAAGTTCAGGTATCCGCGATTATCAAAAGGAACCAAGATTGTGACCTCTACATGGACCATAAGCTAAAAACGTGATTTTTTGTTCAATCAAGGGCCATAATTCAGGAAGTTACGATCTGATATGAGCGAATATTGAAAGGAACCAACATGTATTTCGAGTTTCATTGAAATCGGATCAAAATTGTGACCTCTAGAGGGTTATGAACATGTGTTTTGAGTTTCATTGAAATCGGATCAAAATTGTGACCTCTACAGGGTCCACAACCTTGATTTACCAGATGTTTACACTATTTGCATACTAAGGGCGGACATTTTGTCTGTCCAACAGTTTTGGTCCGATTTTCATGAAATTCAAACTCAGACAAAATTACGGTTTTTCGGTGATGTATTCGAACGTTTTTTTAAATCAGATAATAATTGTGACCTCTAGAGGGGACACAAGCTAAAAACGTGATTTTTCATACAATCAGGGGCCATAATTCAGGAAGTTACGATTCGATATGTACGAAAATAGAAAGGAACCAAGATATTTGTGTTATAAACATGCATTTCAAGTTTCATCAAAATCAGATGAAAATTGTGACCTCCAGAGGGTCCACAACCCTGATACACAATATTTTGATACTATTTGCAAAAGAGGGGCGGCCATTTTGTCCGTCAGTTTCGGACCAATTGTTACGATATTCAAACTAAACCATCCTCAGGGTGTAACGGTGATATATTCAAACGTTTTTTTTAAATCGGATGAAAATTGTGACCCTTATAGGGTCCACAAGCTAAAAACGCGATTTTTCGTACACTCAGGGGCCATAATTCAGGAAGTTATGGTCCAATATGCGGGTTATAAACATACATTTCAAGTTTAAATCGGATAAAAATTGTGACCTCTACAGGGTTCACAAGCTAAAAACGTGATTTTTCGTACAATCAGGGGTCATAATCCATGAATTTACAGTTCCATACATGCCAATATCGAAAGGAACCGAGACCTTAGGGTGATAAACCTAATCGGATAAAAATTGTGACCTGTAGAGTGTTCACAAACAATTGTGGACGGACTGACAGGGGCGACAACAATATACGTCCACATGAAAATGTAGGCGTATAAAAATAAAGAATTATTTAATAATTCCATCTTCTGTTAAATAACATATTTGTGACAATGTGATCTCTTTCTCACGAGATTATTTTAATGTTGTTGCTGCAGATATACCACACAAATAATTGTAGATGTGCACAGGTTTACAGCATCAGTTATTCTCATTATCAAATAGTTGTAAGGCCATACAAAAAAAATATTCTGGTTCTCGGACAAACTTTCCTAAAAATAAGATGCAGGAGGGAGGTTTCTATCTTTGTGGGTTAAATTACTTCCGATAAATATCGCGTTTCAAAACACGCATATATCTCATCACATTGTTGATCATTTATCCAGTATCATTTATGATTGTCAGTAACATTTATTAGGATTGTGCACTGTACAGAAAGCCTACTGTACATCTCCGTATTCATCAGAATTTTTGTTAGACTTCCTGTAACCCAGGGAACACATTTACTTGCGGTAATTAAATAACCACAGTTCATGCGCCTCTTTTCAAGTGACAAAGGAGTATCTGAAACCAGAATATTTTATCATATGGCCTAATATGCAAATCTATTCATTGTAGATGTGCACAGGTTTTACGGCATCAATTATTCTTATTATCAAATAATAGGAAAGTTTTTATTCTCAATAGATGCATATCTATACATGTAGCATCAATCCAGTTGAACAGTTAGCATGTCATACATGTAGAGTCAACAATTACACATTCTTTCACCAACATACACCATCAAATTGTCCAATGCCCATTTTTCAACTATTTTACAATCTTTAACTGGTTAACAACAAACGGTTAGCATATCTATTCATTAACAAATCTCCATCTCAGGCAGTGTATTTCAAACATCTGAAATAAAGAAAAATAGGTTGTCATTAACAAGAGAGAGAGAGAGAGGGAAATGGGGTTTAAAATCCACTTGACACAAACTATGTCATTTTGGGACTAACACATGGTTCAGTTTTATTTCAATAATTCCCTTGCACGTATGGGTCTTTAACACTGAGAAGAAACCGGCGGACCTGGGGAAAACCCACGAGGTTGGACAAGCGACACTACTCCTTGTTACGTACAACCGGGGAATCGAAACCGCGCCAGACTCAATGACAGACTTTATGATACAACGCGCACATGCTAACCATTCGCCATCCAACCCCGCCACGTAATTAAAGGAAATTGCTGAAATTCAATAGGCTACTTCGTTTCAGTAATTCAAATGATGCATATAATTCCAAACAGATCGAATGATAACTTTGTGGTTCAACAAGAACCATAACTCTAGACATAATTAACGGAATATGCTCAAATTCAATAGACTTCTTCGTTTCACTAATTTAAATGAAGCATATAAATTCTATCAGATCGGATGATAACTTTTGTCGTTGAAAAAAGTGAAACAAGGGCCATAACTCCAGAAGAAATTAACGAAAATTATTGCAATTAAATAGGCTTCAGACTTCTTCATCTCATCAAACAACATAATGATAAATGTAGTCTGTAGAGGGTTCACAAGAAATTGTGGACGACGGACAGAGGTACGTATGGACGGGGGCGACAGCGATATACACGACCACATTTCCATGTGGGCGTATAAAAAGTTATAATATATAGTAATTTAGAACGAAAATATGAACTCACCTTGTATCTTGATGGGTTCCTAAACATCTAATACAACAATATCTAGCTCCACATTGTACACATGTAAAGTTAGATGGAAATGTGACGAAAGTTAAGGAAAGTAGATTTTATTATTTCATTAATAACAATATACATTATTGTTTTCTACACTTGGCTGGTGAGCTGAGAAAAGTTCTCCTTAATTTGAGAAAGCCAAAAATTGCAGTCCCAGTTGGTGATGGATGTGGTAAATACGGAGAGTGTACAGTGGGCAACAAAAAACTCTTGTTGATTGAGATGCTGTATAATCTTCTGTGTTAAATTGGTATTTTAATAAAGGATATCCACAAACAGCACAGAAATGTCTGGGAGGAATAACAGATGGTGGAACAGCAGCACTGAAGTAATTAGGTGGTTCACTGTGTACTTGTTGCTGAAAGTAAAAAGTTGTTCTATGTAAATAATCAAGAACAGAGAAGATTTCACTTCTTTAGATTTCAAACTCTTTATACATGTATGTCTGACTATATGCAGCAGTGAGTGTCATTGAGTCAAGTCTCCCATCACTGGCCCATCAAAATATTCTTTTTCAGGCATACCCAGTAACTGATATAATCAATTGAAATAAGGTTGTTTTGGGGGTATTCAACTCATTTGCGAGGTCTTTTGAGAACCCCACACATCCATTTGGGAATTGGCATGCAAGTTATCACTAACCTAGCATTAGTGCCCAAATTTACCAATTACAGTGCTTTGCTTTGATTTTCAATAATTAAGTGAGCCAAAGGTTATTGTTCAAAATCTTCTCTTGGCTAAATATATGCAAGTTGAAAGTTTTATCCCTACAACTGTTGCCAAATTATACAATTTTCATTGGTGATAAACACTAATCTGAATCATATTCATTTTTCTTAAATACAAATAGTAAATAAATTTGCTACGTGATTTTGATAATCCAGCAGGCAACTGGGGTCTTGGGATTTGGGAATTCTTGCTATTTATAAAGAATGTTTTGTATAGCACAGATACATTTGAATTTATTTCTTCCATCTTGTGACGTCATCCTTTGATGTTGGCGTGCCATTATTTGAACTTGCCAACTGTGTATTATTTTATACTACTACTAGATGAAATATTGGACTCGTGTGATGATTTCATTGAAATGCATGTGTCTATATTTTACGCTGTTTAATGGCCTTGAATCTCGAGCAAGACATTTCATAATATATTGAAACAGATCAGATACAACACTGGCAGTTAATATGTTAATAAATAATTTTGGTGTTAGAAATTGATAGTTTGAATATATTATAAGAATTGTAAAATTCTATTAATAAATCTATTTTCTTTATTTTTTAAATTATCCTGTATTTTAATTCTTTGATGAAGATTTTGAAGAAGACATCAATGTTTTTAGTTTGGTCATATCTGTGATATTGTACAAGTGCACTTTTTGTGTATTTTCTGGAATCTTCGTTGTTGATTAAAAGAAGACAAGACTGTTGATGGCTGTTAATATTTCTCTATATTCTTTTGGTAAACAGTAATCAACAAATATCACAGCAGAAAATTAATATAACAATTATTGGTTCAATGCTTAATAGTAAATAAGCTCCAATGTGGATATGGGAATTGACATAAACATATGTCTCCAAATATCCAAATACAGGTAAATAAGGTCTGTTCTTAGGTATGTGATCTAAGTTGATCTCCCAAGACACGTGTGTAGCAAGCTCCCCCCCCCCCCCCCCGAAATCCGGCATTTGGGTCTATATATCCCCATGCATCGCCCAGGGCATTAATCCTATAAATCTACAAACAATATACCCTGGTAACTAAACGCTATAGCCTGTAGACATTTATTATAATTTATAAGCTCAATTTAAAGTTTAAAACAAAGAATACTGGAGACAGGTGATTAATGAAATATATAAGACAATATGAAGTAGATATAAATGGTGGGTAATTAAGGTGGTAAGATCCATTAAAATATAATTTACTGAATTAAGTAATACTGTGCGGATTAGCACGACGTATTAAACATTTACTATTGAGTCCAAATTCACCCTACTATAATATATTTTGTTTATTGTAAATGAAACGATAGTTAGCAAATAATTTAGTTCATAGTAACTTGCATCATAGTATACTATTCAAAAAAAGTAGGGGATATTTGATTTTGGGGGCATAATACTAAAATATGGAAATGACTACGAAAAAAGTCACTATAGAACCTAACAGAAGAAACATTTCCAGTTACATGTGACGCCCAAATGCACCAATAGCTACCGCATGGAATGCAGGTGATGCTTGGGATCATCATGGGGGTCCAACCCAAGATTTGCACGACTCTGACTTTGAATGTTACAGTCATTGTGGCATTGAATTCAAGGGTGGAAACATCAGTTTAATTGTTTTAGTGACCAGAAAACAAATTTTGATATGCGTCGGCTTACCCAAAATGAAAGGTTACGTGCCCTTGGCATGCTACAGATCGGCACAACACAGGCGGTTGTGGCGCGGACGATGAATGTTTCTCAGTCTGTCATAAGCAGGCTATGGTCCAGATACCGTGATACACAATCTGTACAGGACAGACCACGCTCAGGTCGACCAAGGGCGACAACTCAAGCCCAGGATCGATTTATCCGTACCTTGGCCTTGACAAATCGTGTCATCACAGCAAATCAGATCAGCGCTCGTCTTCAAACAGACACTGGTGTGAGAGTGAGTGGCCAGACGATTCGGAATCGACTGCATAGGGGTCACCTTCGCGCCCGACGTCCTCGCGTGATCCCTTGTTTGAGAGATCATCACATTCAGGCAAGACGTCGTTGGTGTAGGGATCGTCAACACTGGGATAATCGACGCTGGAGCAATGTGATGTTTTCAGATGAGTCAAGGTTCACTGTTGATTTTTTGGACAGGCGTAGGAGGGTGTGGCGTCGTCGAAACGAGCGCTTCCAAGACGTTAACGTCATCAGACATGATCGATTTGGGGGTGGTTCTGCTATGGTGTGGGGAGGCATCACTGTTGCTGGAAGAACGGCTTTACATGTTGTTGCAGGGCGTGTTACAGGCCAGTACTACCGGGACAACATCTTGGCAGTCCATGTTGTGCCGTTCGCACGACGTCATGGCCGCCGTTTCATCTTCCAGGATGACAACGCAAGATGTCACAGGGCCAGGATCGTTACAGGTTACCTCCAACAACAGAACATCACTACATTACCATGGCCAGCACTGAGTCCCGACCTCTCCCCCATCGAGCATGTCTGGGACATGCTTGGACAGAGGTTACGTCAACGTCAACAACGTCCTGCCAATGTCCAAGAACTTGCTGCTGCGTTGCAACAGGAATGGGACAATCTGGACCAAAATGACCTTAGACGTCTCATTAGGAGTATGCCACGTCGGATCAATGCTTGTTTGGCAAACAGAGGAGGATTTACCCGTTACTGACTTGGTTGTGATGCTGTGGTAACTTTGCTGTTTGACCCCGGGTATCATTTTACCATTATAATGGTCAGTCTGTGCCTTACTTAGTCTAACGATCATTTGGAATAAATCGATGAATGTGAACTTCATTTCATTTTGTCATTTGTTTCTTCGTCAGTTTCATTAGGTGACTTTAATAACACTTAAAAATCAAATATCCCCTACTTTTTTTGAATAGTATATTTATAACCTAACACAAGTAAGATCTTTTAATGTTATTGGTTTATCTATGTGTAACTTTGATAGTAAATAACACAATTTATCCCAGAATAGTTTTAAATATTTACAATTTATAAAATAATGGTCATAGTTTTCCTCTACTGAAGAGAATTTGCAAAAGTTACTGTCGCTAATAGTCAATTTGCATAAAAAAATTTGAATCGGAATAATACATTGAAGAAGTCTATACGGTAAATATTTTCAGGTCATTGTCTATTAAAAACTTGAATATGAAAGTATATATTTCCTTTTTCAAGTATTGTAACCAATAATTCATTCCAATTGGTTTGATACTAATTAGTTAATTCAGAATAATCTACTTCCTTTCCTTTCCAAGTTAGACAAGTTTTATGTAGCCGGTATTATATATAATTTACTTTTATAAGAGTGGAAATAATTTTGAACTATTTTTGGGGTACACATGCTGTGATTGTTTTAAATTTGCATATCCAGTTGGATTTGTTTTGTAGTTTGTTCATAATAATTTTTAGTGAAATTGGTTTTTTATCATTTTATCATCAAGAATATCATTTAGATGAATTATATTACTATTAATCCAATTTTCATAAATTGGACTTTTATTATGTAATATGTTTATTACCCCATAATACTTGTTTCTAATCTGAATATGAGTTTTGGGATTTTGAATTTGTCCAGTGTTCACCCAGTATCTTATTATATCTTGATAGAATTCAGGTGCAGACTTAATATTTGGGATAGATTTTATTTATACTGTCTATATTTGATCCATACTGCTTTTAATGAATTAAAGTAACTTTCAATGTCAAGCATATCTATTCCACCATTTTCATATTTACCTATTAAAATAGCTCTCTTAATTTTCTCATTTTTAATATTCCACAGAAACTTAAGCAAGATATTTCTATTTTCATTCAGGAAATTTTTGGGTACAACATAAGTGCTTGCTAAAAACATGAATATTGGTAATAGCTTTGATAATTACAATTCTCCCAATTTAGTATCTGACATTTAAGTTTGTCATGTACAAAATATAAACCCAGTTAGTACCATGATTGGTTTATCAGCCAAGTTTATTCCATTAATTTTTTCTCTACAATTTTTAAGTTTACCTATCCATTTACCTAACTGTTTTATTTCGATTTAGTTTTAATCCTGAATGATCCAAATATTTCTATTTCGTTCATTGCTAAGGATATCTCATCCTTAGATCCTAAAAAAAAGAGTTGTGTCATCAGCCATTTGTGTAATTTTAATACTCTGTGTTTGGTTGTTAAGTTTTATACCTGTATCCCTTTAATATTTTTATTTTCCCTAAATTTTATTGCCATTATTTCAGCTGAGATGACAAGGGACACCCTTGCCTGATAATAGAAATTACATATGATAAGTCCATGTGCAGTTGCACTTAAATTTGTCACAAATAACAAGATAAATAATTAGCTCCATAATCATTCGAAAATCAATTTTATGTTCTGCTCAGTCACAGAAAAATAATTTGGGTTTATGATTATTGTAATATTTAAGTGAAATAATTAATTATTAGACTTTGTGTGAAACAGTTCAAGCTTACCACACTTACTTCTTCTTCCAATAATGCAGCAAAATTCTTTCTATATCTCTGTTTAAATTCTCCTTTTGATTTTCGCTTTTTCTTCATATTTGCTGAAATCAAACAACATTGCTAGAAACGAAAATATACCCACCAGTAGTAATTTGAAGCATAGATTTTTTTAAAAGTTTCTGGGTCAAGGGGAATACTGTACATGTAACTTAGCATGAAATTTTATGCACGATTAGCCAAACAATCCTGACAACACAGAAAATTTGCAAATTAAATTAATATTTCATGTCTTTTATTTATGGTACGTGAATTCATGTATCTATACCACCTTACACAAAAAATATATATATTGAACTACGAAATAAAAAGTTAGTAGGGCCTATAATAATTATATATTTAAAATGCAATATTCCCTTTTGGCTATTTAAATAGGTTTTATTATCGAAATTTCTTCTTTGGTTAAAAAGACAAATAAAGAGCCAAATTGGCTGTAGGAAAATCATTCCAACATAGCCTACATGTGTTACCACGTGCTCTATAGAAAACACACTGACTTTCATAATTTTGAAATGTATTACAATAACTTCCGAAATGAATCATTAATCACCAACACAACACTCAGCATAATCCTCTGTTGACAACTATGTATACAACTCTATAACACAGTGATGGGATTTTGCCTGTATATTCCAGACATGTCCGACTCTATTTTCCAAACGTCCTAAATTGTCCGACCAGGAATATGCCGAATCGGACATCAAGACATGGTAAATAATATTCAAAATTCCATAATTAATATAGTGTACTGAGTGTATAACTACCACTCAACCCGATTAGGCTGGATTGATTAGGTAATTAAGTGATCAACGTATTTATCTTTATATACCGCCCATTCACCTGCCTTGATTAACTACTTAATCTGTCTTGATTGGCCGACTTAATTCTTTGTCGGACAATTCATCAATTCAATCCTGAACAGAAGTCATTGCTTCTCCTTTGTCGGACTATATACCAATCCAATAAACTTAATCTACGTGATTAACCCGTGATTTCTCCATTGTCTCACGTTTTAATCGCCTTGATGTCGGCCGTAGACATTAGTCATATATGTCACATATCCTAATAGTATATAACACCCCAAATCAATATGCATTGTGTCTTGTCTGCGATATCACCTCGGTGGAAGCAGACGTAAAATACAACTAACACACACACATATACATTGTGTCCAATAACTTGTCTGTGATATCTCTTCAGTGGAAGCCGAAGTTCAATAAAGCTATTTCACACACACGCAAAATCAAAGTAGAAATCTCGCGAGACAAGTGGAATTAAGAGTTGTAAACGTGCCGAATCTAATATGTCTGATGTCGGGAGAAATGATTCTTTTTTGATGGCATATTGTCGGATTTATGATCACATTTTGAATGGGGTTTATGTTTTTAAATAAATAAATAAACACGCTAAGAAATGTTGACGAATATTTCGATTGGAATAACGTAAGTAGTTACGGTAATTGTTTTAGACGATAGCGCATGCTTAGAGTCGAATGGGATTTTTTAGCAGTTGGTGTCACTCGCTCGTTGTATTAGAGCGACGTTTATTACGGTTTACGGTCAAATAAATTTCGGGATGTCATTTTTTTACCTTCCGTATATAAATCGAAACGGAGTATAAGACAAATGCCGGACTTTGCTGAAAAATGTATCGACTTATGACCCGAAAAATACGGTAATTTTAAGGGAATTTGAAACCGGTACGGATGGGCAGTAGTCGGCAGGCTTTCATTCTATGGAATACGATGTCATGTAATTTTGTAGGAATATTATTGACATAATTTTGAATACCGTACGGGAATTAAATATGAAAAATAACGAGGTACACCTATTTTTTTTATTAAGTATGAATTTGAATATTTTGTTGACACGTGATTCTTAATTATGGTTTGAAAACGCCTGCTTAAATAACGATAAGAGTTATGTCCCCTTATTTTCGGGAAGAAAATGTCCGACAACTAAAATTTTGAAATCCCATCACTGCTATAACACCAATATTTTGTAAAGGCTGTAGAATTTTATAGCTACATGACGGAGGTCGATCGTAGCCATGTTTGATGATAATTGAGTTTTAAAAAATATGCTATTTTTCAGGTGTGCAAAATGACCAAATGTTCAGATCTAATTTCAGTCATTTTCCATAGCCCTCAGTCTTCACCGGCATATACAGCCAACATGGAATCATGGTCAATAGTCAATCGATAGAAGATTAGAATTTGATGTCTTGATATGAGTTTGGCAAAGATATTAATAAAGTGATGTGCATCTATGACAGAAACACTATGTCTGTCAATGTTTGATATTTGTTTTTGTGAAAAAAAGTCTGAAAAGTATCACTATCAGATGGGTCATTCCATGAAGTTGACACCTAGTGTGACATGGGCATTAAAATTTCAAAATGTATTTGGAGAGTAAATAACACATTGTTAAAAATATAAAAACTTTACAATTTTCTGTAAAAACGCCGACATACTAAAATGAATGTGTGTAACATTGACAAAATATTGTCCTCTTTTTCTTCTGGTTAAGATAAATAAATCATAGTTAAAGGCAACTGAGTACTCAAGACTAAAGTATCTATCATTTGGTGGTATCAAAATGTAAGAAGAGGTAATTTATTTTACAACATCTCTCAAAATGAGTCTGCGGGTAACAATGACCAAAAACACAAGTTAATGTTCTATAAAACAATACTCATAAAAAAAATGCGAAATCAATTCCTAATATTGTACATCTATTTGCCTTGTACAGTTTTTGACCTGTTGATTGTACCATCTAATAAAACAAAAAAATTAGATATCCTGTTTAAAAAGAGTTGGTAACATTGACCACATCAAATTCCTTTGGAAATTAATTCCTAATATTGTACATCTATTTGCAATGTACAGTTTTTGACCTGTTGATTGTACCGTCTAATAAAAAAAAATATATTACATATCCTGGATAAAAAGAGTTGGTAACATTGATCACATCAAATTCACTTGGAATCGTGATATATATTGTTAAGTAATCATTGATAAAAAATTGCTTTAACCATCCCAAGGAGCTATCACCTTCAAATACAAATGATAATGTGGATGTTAGTCATGTATGTGACAAGCACAAGGGTCACCTGTCTAACCTTGTGGGTTTTGCCAAGGACTATCATTTACCCCAACTGCTAAAGCCCTATGCACAAGCCAATTATTGAAATAACCTAGAGTTGAGTGACCGCTAAAGTCCACCTCTTTCGAACAACCATCATTAAATAAGTTACGACTTTGGAAATATGATTTAATATTTCATTTATTATTCAACATGTAACACAGTGATCAGTTTAAAAACAAAGACAAAATAAAAATGACATAAGAAATAAAATGGGGTTTAATGTAAATGACATAACAATAATGGTAAAATAATTAGACGGATAAAGCATCAATACTGATTTAATTCAATTAGACGGATAAAGAATCTATACTGATTTAATTAAATTGAACGGATAAAGCATCAATACTGATTTAATTAAATACCAGCGGCTGCCAGGCAGGATATGCCCACATTTTCGAGAGATGGATAGAGAACAAGCTAAAAAGAAAGGGATTTTTCCTACAATCAAGGGCCATAATTCAGGAAATTACAATTCGATATGCGCAAATATCGACAGGAACCGAGATCTTTGGGTTATAAACTTACATTTCAAGTTTCAACAAAATCAGATAAAAATTGTGACCTCTATAGGGTTCACAACCTTGATATACCATATTTTTACGCTATTTGAGAACGAGGGGAGGCCATTTTGTCTGTCAGTTTTGGGCCGATTTTCACGAAATTCAAACTCAGCCGTCCTTATGGTGTAACGGTGTTATGATAATACGTTTTTTTAAATCAGATAAAAATTATTACCTCTATAGGGTCCACAAGCTAAAAATGCAATTTTTCGTACAATCAGGCGCAATAATTCAGGAAGTTACATTCCGATATGCGCAAATATAGAAAGGAACCGAGATCTTTGGGTTATAAACTTACAATTCAAGTTTCAACACAAACAGATAAAAATTGTGACCTTTATAGGGTTCACAACCTTGGTATACCATATTTTTACGCTATTTGAGAACGAACGGCGGCCATTTTGACTGTCAGTTTTGGGCCGATTTTCACGAAATTCAAACTAAGCCTTCCTTAGGGTTTAACAGTGATATAATAATATGTTTTTTTAAATCAGATAAAAATTATAACCTCTATTGGGTCCACAAGCTAAAACGTGATTTTTCGTACAATCAGGGGCCATAATTCAGAAAGTTACGTTCCGAAATGCGCGAATATCGAAAGGAACCGAGATCTTTGGGTTATAAGCATACATTTCAAGTTTAAACCAAATCGGATAGAAATTGTGACCTCTACAGTGTTCACAAGCTAAAAACGTGATTTTTCGTACAATCAGAGGCCATAATCCATGAAGTTACAGTTCGATACATGCCAATATCGAAAGGAAAAGAGATCTTAGGGTGATAAACCTATATTTCAAATTTCATTGAAATCAGATAAAATTGTGACCTGTAGACTGTTCACAAACAATTGTGGACGGGTGGACGGACGGACGGACAGGGGCGACGACAATATACGTCCACATGAAAATGTGGGCGTATAAAAATTGGACGGATAAAGCATCAATATTGATTTAATTAAATTGGACGGATAAAGCATCAATACTGATTTAATTCAAGTAACGACATGGGATTTGCATTACTCAACATTGACTGACTTAATACTTAACTAAGAAATCAAAACATCAGCACTAGATAATTTCCCTGCATAGATTCAGTCAGATTAAAATCAGACCAAGTCATCAGATGTTGCGAAACAAAGATGACGAAAGGCTCTTTTGGTCATCAGATTTTGCGAAACAAAGATGACAGAAGGCTTGTTTACATAGGGAGCAGCATTTTCATGTTGTGAACAGAATCAAACCAATTTTTGACTGCTATTCCTATTACAGATTCAAATAACAGTTCATTTTCCAACCCAAAATTCCCTGCTGGTTTGAAGTACTTGACATACATATATGG